CACAAATGCAAGTTAAAACTCTAAAACGCAAAGAAGAAACCATATATAAACAGGATTGAGAAGCGCCGCCGCCTTCTCTGGGCCCGAGCTCATTTAAAATGGACTGAGGTGAAGTGGAAGTGTCCTGTGGTCCGACGAAAAATTTGAAATTCTTTTTGGAAATCATGGATGCTGTGTCTTCCAGGCCACTCAAGACCACTCAACTTGTGATCAGTGTACAGTTCAAAAGCCAATATTCATGACAGTATAGGGGTGCATTAGTGCGCACGGCATGGGTGACTGGCACATCTGTGAAGGCACCATTAATGCTGAATGATACATACATGTTTTGGCAACATATGCTACCATCCAGATGATGTGTTTTTCAGGGAAGGCATTGCATATTTCAGCAACACAATGCCAAACCACATTCTGCATTTATTACAACAGTATGGCTCCATTTTAAAAGAGTCTGGGTACTAACTGGCCTGCCTGCAGTCCAGATCTGTCACTCACTGAGAACATTTTGTGTATTATGAAATGAAAAATACCACAAATGAGACCCTGAACTGTTGAGCAGCTGAAATCTTATATCAAATAAGAACAGGAAAACATTTCAGTTTGAAAACTACAGCAGTTGGTCTCCTCAGTTCTCAAACGCTTACAAAGTGTAGTTAAAAGAAGAGGTGATGAAACACAGTGGTAAACATACCCCGTCCCAACTTTTTTGGAACGTGTTGTTGGCATCAAATTCAAAAGAGGCATATATTTTTCAAAAAACAATAACATTTCTCAGTTTCAACATTTGATATGTTGTCTTTGTAGTATTTTCCTTTAAAATATGGTTTACATGATTTGCATATCATTGCATTCTATTTTTATTTACATTCTGCACAGTGCCCCAACTTTTTGGAAATGGGGTTGTACAACACAGCTTGACATTTAATGAGCAAAATGTGCTCTGCACCATGAAAACCGTCTGACTCTGCTGATGTTTTGCTGGATAGCTTCAACTCAAAAATTGTAAGTGTTATAGATGAGATTGCACCAGTCAAAGCTAAAACTATGTCATGCCAACAGAAAGCACCTTGGAGGAATACTAATGCTAAAGAACATGTTTCACTCTTATCCTTATAAATTAAAAACTGCCATTGTGAAGCCTCTCTTAAAAAAAAATCTAGAAGCAACTCTATTGAGTAATTACAGACCGATTTGAAATCTACCTTTCTTTATTGAGAAAATTGTTCTCAAGCAACTTACTGGCTTTCTGTCCTTAAATAGCTGTCTGGACAAATTTCAGTCAGGTTTTCAACCTAATCATAGTACTGAAACGGCTCAAATTAACGTTATTAATGACATTTGCTTAAATACAGACTCTGGAAAAATATCTGTTCTATTACTGCTCGATCTCAGCGCTGCCATTGATACCATTGACCATAAAATTCTCATAGATAGACTTGAGAACTGGGTTGGGCTCTCAGGAACTGTCCTAAAATGGTTTAGTTTATCCTTGCAAGGAAGGGACTACTTTGTGGAAATTTAAATTAATATGTCTGAGAGAGTGCCATTGACCTGTGTTGTCCCCCAGCGTTCAATTCTTTGGCCACTTTGATTCAATTTATACATGCTGCCCCTTGGCCAAACACTATAAGACTATGGGATATCTTACCCCCGCTATGCAGATGATAAACAGATCTACTTGACCCTCTCCCCAAACAACTGTGGTCCTCTTGACTCGCTTTGTAAGTGCCTTGAGCACATTACTAACTGGATGGGACAAAACTTTTTGCAGTTCAACAAAGATAAAACAGAGATTAGTTTATTTGGGAATAACAATGAGAGGCCCAGACTAGCTGCCTAGCTGGATTCAAGAGCCCTAAAATTTAAGAACTAATGAACTCTGATCTTAGTTTTAGCAGTCATGTCAGAACAGTTACTAAATCAGCTTTTTATCATCTTAAGAATGTCAACAAGATCAGAGATTGTCTAACTAAAGCAGACCTGGAGAAACTTATCCATGCCGTTATTCCTAGCAACGTTGATTACTGTAATGGTCTCCTAACTGGACTCCCAAAAAAGACAAACAGCTTCAGATGATTCAAAATGCAGCTGCCAGAGTTCTCACTAGAAGTAAAAGAAAGGAACACATCACCCCCATTCTTAAATCCTTACACTGGCTAGTAGTCTGCTACAGAATAGACTTTAGGATACTATTACTGGTCTACAAGTCACACAATGGTGGAGGATTTATTTCATATGGAACCACTTGTCAGAAAGCATTAGAAGAGCCCTGACACTGGATGCTTTTAAATCCAGGCTCAAAACGTTCCTATTTGAACAGGTTTTCAGCATAGTTTAGCATTTCTAGACTCTTTTTCTCTGTAATGGCACTTATTTTTTTATTTTTAATTAGTTTTTTTTTTTTAACTATCCTAATTTAATTTCTAATTTCTCTTTTATGTGTATTGTTTTAATCATGTTTTAATTTCTATTCTCATTTATATTTTATATTTTAAAACAACTCTATTTTTAAACTGTATTTTCTCATTTGTAAAGCATTTTGAATGACAGCAGTGTATGAAAGGTGCTATGTAAATAAACTTGCCTTGCCTTGCCTTATGAGTGTACAAATATACTGATGACTTGCAATTTTGCACCCCAGCAAAAATATTTTTGCAGTAAGCATAACACTTAACACTGTTCACATGTGTTGAATACAGGATCCTAGGTATTTTCCTTCCCAAATAAATCTGGATATGACTTTATTCCAAACTAAAAATTTATTTTGTGGTACTTCTGCTGGCAGAGCCTGGAATAAGAACGTCTTTGGCAAAATATTAATTTTCTCTGCATTTATCTTACTGCTTAAATTAACTGAAGGAGTAAACCATACTTGAGTATCCTTTGTGATATTGAGATTTATATGATTGTAATTGGCCTCATAGAACTTTGTGATATAAAGTTAACTAGGACTTGAGAAACAACACTGAGTGCATTTAAATGCACTTAATAATCCGATAACTGCAGAAAATCAGATTTTTTAGTAATCCGATCAACACATTTACATGCTCTTGGGTAATCAAATTACAGGAAGCTTCAGGTCTACATGAGTCAGGCAGTATTCGGATTTCTGCTTTTTTTTTTTAAACATTGCGCCACTACTAGAAAATATGAAGATACATCATCTAGAAGATGAAGAATATTTAAATCCTTCATTTCGTGTTTGGTTTCAGCGCCTCTCCAAAAGTGTTTTGCTGCCATCTTGTGGCATTGCTGCTTGCTTATATCTGATACCGCTGATATCTGTTCTCGCGCATGCGCAGACTGAGAAATCTGATAGAACTAAGAGTACGAGTATGCATGCACTGAGAAATCTGATTCCTGAGCTAAAATCCAGCTGTCTTTATCGGATTTCTTAATTAGATTTCTAGATGGTGTTTACATGACCATGTAACTGCAGAAATCCAATTATGATCGGATTATTGAGTGCATGTAAATGCACCCAGTTTTGGTTATCCTAGATTTCTTTGATGTTGCTATGATAACATTGACCACGTAGTTCTGTTAGACTGTTGTAAAATTGGGTTGGCCTTTTTGTCTTAGTGTAGACTGGTTTCCCATCCTACCTAAGTGGTTGTGATTACTGTGTTTCACATGGTACTTACACAGTGAAGCACCCCATAGTATTTTGCTTTCTTTAGCATGCAGGCAATGTCTGGCTATAGCTGTCATTAGCATGTGGTAGTTTTTGTTTATTGAAAATGAAAAGAAATACTTTCATTTAAGAATTAAAGAACCACAGGGATGTCTGCAAACAGTATATTTTCTCTGCAATATCTCCAAGGTTTGTAACATTCTCTATACTGCTGATATTGAAAAATGTATACACTCTTTTGTAATAGTCTGCATAGTTGTTCTAAAAAGATGCTAAATAATTAAAATAGATTGCTCCAAAAACAGTTAAATGCTAAATGATGACATATGGTTGCACATTTATCCTTTCCCTGCTGGTCCTATATTCTGATCCATTTAGTATGCTAAGAAATCAGATAAATGATTTTTAGCATGGGTATTTCTCTGGGCCTGCTTATTCCGTTGTTATATACTGGCTCTGGCTTTGTCTATCTCTCTGTCTGTCTCTCTCTGTCTCTGTTTGAGAGTGTCTCATAACTGCCCACCTGCAGTGAAATTCTCTGGGATTTTAGACTGAGGAAGTGCAGCACATGGTACCCCTACTCTGTTTAATGCCATTGAGACTGAGTCTGTGACATTTAGAGGGTGGCGGCTGGGAAACGGGAATGAAAGGGAGAGACTTTGAGCCTTCAGAGAAGGCTCTGTGATTGGTCCTTGAAGATCTGCCCTGCATTTAGAGCTTTTCAGAAATATGGTTAGGATATTTTCTATACATAGTTTGTCTGGTGGCATGACTCACTCTGTGTGATTTACAATTTATTGCCACACCAACTCAGTGGTTAGGACCCTGCAATCAAAATAAAGCCATCAAAATTAGATAGATAACATAGCAAAGTACATCAAGTTAGTAGATAATTGCAGTACTTAAATTATACAATTATTTAATTGTATATAACGCATAATCCTTGAAATGTTGAATAAAACATCTAAGAATACCTTTTGGTGTGTAGTTTATAAGATTGAAATCGACATAGTGGTGTAAGTTATTATTGAATATTATTAATATAACCAGTGATTCTAATCTTAATGGTAGTGTAGGACACAAAAGACAAAGTTGCATTTAGCTCATGTGGAGTCTCATCTCAGGCTTTGAATTGATCCTGCAGGCATAAGGCTCAGTGTCTTGGGCAGATGTCCCTTATTAAACACTGACTGTTTCCAAGAACCAGCAGTACCACAGTGCAATGTCAACTGTTTTGCACATATAGTAGATTTAAAATGTACAAATCCCATAAGTAGAAATACACACAGAGGTGAGTTAGTATTTAGCGTTAAGGGTAAAATATGAAATGTTCCTTAATTGTGTCCTCTACTCTGTTTGATTTCAGGAGCATGACCTTGAGACTCCACATGGTGTCTTGCATGTGACCATGAGGGGCATTCCCAAAGGAAACCGCCCAGTGATCCTGACCTACCACGACATTGGACTCAACCGTATGTAGCACTGAATCCACAATTAAGCACTTAGGTGAAAACAAATTAGGATAACAAGCCTTGCCATATTCTGTTTATTTTGCTCAGATAAATCATGCTTCAACACACTGTTTAACTTTGAGGACATGCAAGAGATCACACAGCACTTTGCGGTAGTGCACGTCGATGCCCCTGGCCAGCAGGAGGCAGCGCCCCACTTCCCTGCTGGGTGAGTCACCTGCATGTTGGCCAGTCATCTCATGGCTGGTCCAGTACTTACTTATGTACATAAAATTACTTTTTGTTTTTGATTTGTTGCTCATGTTTTTCTTGTGTATGCGTGCTCCTCAAAAAACATGGTTCTCATATTTCCACAGGTACCAGTATCCCAGTATGGAGGAGCTTGCGGAGATGCTTCCCTCAGTGCTGACTCAGCTGAAGTGAGTAATGATGTACTTTGTCCGTCAGTCCATTAGTTCAGTTGTGGTATTAAACCCAATTATAATCAAACTGTTTTTAATTTTAATAATTGCAGTAACTATGTATGTGATTTTCAGACTTTTACGAAATCATGATAAGAGTAAATATCCTACTGCCAGAGTCCCCCTGCAAAGCTCATACCAGTGTAAGCACAATAAACAAGGTGTGTTTGGTAACTAGTTAGTTAGCTAGCTTGTGAAAACCATGGCAGAAGGATGCTGTAGTAGAAGTAGTAATAATAATAATGATAATAATGATACTTTTTATTTATATAGCACTTGTCGCATCTAACAGTGCTTTTAATAATTAATAATTAATAATAGGCAGTCAAATAAAACTTTGAATTACCATGGTTTAAATGAAATATCAGAACAAATACAACAATTAAAGTATCATCAAATGTTGAGTTGATCTTGTTTTAGCTGATTTTTGTGGTGTTATAAAGAAATATGTCAGATTCAGTAAAAAGGTTTAGCAGTATAATACCTTTGGTGATTTCACTGTGTATCAATGCCTTTTGAATATGTCTGGTAGTTTCATGATACTACTGAAAACTATCATCATTTTGATCACTAATATCTTGAAAGAAAATTCATATCATCCCATTCCTAATCACCACCAGTCACTGCACCACTCAGGCAGGGTTCTGCACAGGGCTCTATTTTGGACATTCATGGATTGATATGTTACTAGTTGATCAAGTTTGAATGTATGACATGCATCCCTATACGTTAACAAGTGTGTGTGAATATGTGTGTACGTGTGTGTGGTTCTGCAACTGTTTTGTAGGGTGTACAGCGTGATTGGTATTGGCGTTGGAGCGGGAGCATACATCTTAACCCGCTTTGCAGTGAGTCCTCTGACATCATCTACAAAGACATCATCTGATTTGCTGCCTGTCTTCGTCTTCTCAGCTCTGTTTCCCTTTTTGTGTTACCAACAATCTTTCAAATGTTCTTCCAACATCAGTTACCTCAGCTAAACTGGATTAAACTGGAATGATGCATTTAGAATTTATTTTTCTTAGAACAGCCTTAATTATTAAAGTAGATTTGAGGTTGTAGTAACACAGCCACACGTGTCACTTTACACTGTAAGAAATAAAGGTTCTGTGCAGGTACATTTTTCGTTCATCAAGGTACAAACAATGTAAATGTTCCCTAAAAGGTACAACAGTGGTTCTAAGATCCAGTTGTGAACCTTAAATAAGTTTTTCCCAAGTGAAAAGTATGTATTTGAACATTTTCATAACCTAATGTTTTAAAACAGAACAATAAAAAGCCTGGAGACGAGATGGGGTGTGTGGAGTCAATACAACTTAGAAAATATCATTTTAATGGATTATGGTACAATTATGTTCCCTGACTAAAGGTACTAAGATGTACCCTTGAGGGTCCCACCCCAGTGACAAGAGGGGTACTGCCCCAGTGACAGTTTCATATTTTTTTTTCTGAGAGTGTAGAGCCAAATCAAGGTGGAAATTGTCCAAAGAGCGTCATTGTTCTGTGCATGCACACACACACACACACACACACACACACACACACAAAACAATTTCTCTTTCTTTTTTGCACTTTCCCTAGCTTTCCCTTCTCTCTGTCTTTTCCTACCTCTTCCCTGTCTCTCACTTTCTATCTTTTTCTTACCCCTTTCTCTCTATCTGTCTCCCTCTTCTTTCTCTCTCTCTCTGTCACATCTTTTGCTTTCACTTCCTCCCTCTCTATTCCCTGTGTTGTGTGGCCTTGTCTGGTTTCATGTGCTATGCTGTGGTTCCATCATCTCTGCACACTGTGCTGAAATATTAATGTAGCTTGTCAGGAGCAGTAGCACTACGGTCTGAGAAGAGATGTTGTGAGCTTTGCTGTATAAACTCTGCGTTTAATGATGACCATCTGCCCACTTCCTTGACTGTATACAGTTTTTAATCACCTTTACTCTGTCTACCTCATTAAAACTAAACTGGGCTCTGCCTTTTGCAGCTCAACCATCCATCCCTGGTGGAGGGCTTGGTTTTGATTAATGTTAACCCATGTGCTGAGGGCTGGATTGACTGGGCTGCTTCTAAGGTGGGTGGCAATGTTAGGGCGGGCAAAATGACGATGTACGTTAACATCATCATGATATATACATCACAATAACTTTTTCTGAGTAGATCATGAGTATTGTCACTGCTTACGTTATATTCATGTTGGGATTTGGGTTGGGTTCAAATTTCATGTTTGTGTTCTCACAGCCTGCATCCCAATTTCAACAGATTTACCCTCCATTAGCCCTTGCTTTAGTTTTAATACTTACTTCTTACTTTCTACTTCATTACCCTTTAATCTGGCATATTGGAGTCACTCACTCATGAATTTAGCAGTGATGATCCATTCTTTTTTAGATCTCTGGATGGACCAGCACCCTGGTGGACATTGTTATGGCTCATCACTTCAGCACTGTAAGTATTTTAATTTCTCTGTGCCTGAAGTAGCCATTTTTTAAATTCCCTGATGACTGAAAATTGCGTTGACTCGTGTGATGTGCCAGGAGGAGCTAACGGAGAACAAGGAGCTGATCCAGACCTACCGGCTACACATTGCTCAGGACATCAGTCAGGATAATTTGTCCCTCTTCTGTGGATCCTACAATGCGTAAGGCCTTCCGGGCACAAATAAACCACTTTATTGAAATCTACTTAAATGTAATTACTGGTTACTTATCTTGCAAGTATAAGCTATATTGCCTGGTACTAGTCTGTGAAGGTGCCTTTTGTTGATTTTGGTTCCTAGGCGCCGGGATCTGGGAATTGAGAGGCCTGTTGTTGGTCTTAATGAAGATACAATGAACACATTGCGGTATGTTCAAACTTTAATTTATTATTTAGTTCGTAGAAGCTTATTGTTTTAATCACTCTTTTTGACTCTTTTGGCATAGATGTCCTGCTCTGCTGGTGGTAGGAGACACTTCTCCTGCAGTAGAGGCTGTGGTGAGTATTTACTGAAAAGCATGGTTTTTAAAACGTATTCTGGTGCAGATTACTGATTAATGTAATACTGTCATCCAATCCTGTAATCATCATATTTCATAATGCATCTGTAATCTGTTTTTATGCATTTTTCTGTAATGGTTACAGAATATTTTTTGGATACTTATTACGTTACACCGTTACATGTATTCTGTTACTGCCCAAGTCTGATGAAAATATGGATAAGTTGTTGGTGTCTTGGAAGTTTTTCTGAAAAATGTTTTAATATAACTTGCTCAAACAGAAGCTTATACATTGCTAATGCTGTACAACATTGATTTCATATTATAGGTTGAGTGCAACTCCAGGTTAAATCCAACAAAAACTACACTTTTGAAGGTGGGATTTCTTTTAAAGTATTTTGCTATATTGTGCTACATTAGTTTATTAAACATTGGCTTTTGTTTGCTTACATTTTCCCATGATATTGCTTCAATTTATTCACCCAGCTTTGCCAGCTCCCTATAGTCATATGATGATTATGACTGTCATATGATGATCTCCACTGTTTGCTCTCCCTTGCCCTTCTCTTGATGTCTTTGTGTCACAATGTGATTGTCTCTCAGATGGCAGACTGTGGTGGCTTGCCTCAGGTTGTTCAGGTAAGTCATGATATAAATAATAGAAGTCTAATGTTTCATGCACTTTTAGCAGATAGAACACAAATGACAGTGAGTTCTTAGAAAGGCCTCTATTTATTATATTATAAAAACTGTTGAGGAGGGACCTTAAAAACCAAATGTTTGACAGTTTTTGTACACACTGACATTGATATGGTAAGCAATAGGTTATTACAAACAAATATTTCAAAATCCCTGGAAAGCAGTACAGTTTTTGACATGAATTGCCAGAGTTGTTTAAATCAATGAACTGAATATTTCTACAGTCTTCATCTTTCAAGGCTACCTAATCCTGGTGCTGGAGATCTACCAGCCTTCAGCGTTTAGCTCCAGGTCTTATATCACACCTGATCCAGTTAATAGATGGCTTCAGAGACATCTGAAAATTGGACACAGGGATGTTGGATCTGAGCTCTCTAGGGTGGTGGATCTCCAGGACCAGAATTGGTCCTCTGGGTTCTACAGCAATGACCTGTTTCCCTATGATTGCACCATAATGCTTCATTTTCATTTAAAATAACTAACATTTTCTAAGCTAAATGTTCCAAGCCTCTGGACTGTGTACAAGGGGTTGGTTTCTGAACTTGTCCCATTTTTTACTGCTTATGAGTTTGCATGTCTGTATTTGATAGTTGTGAAATTATTAGTCTCACGATTAAATTTTACAATGTCTGCTGCTGATTGTAAAACATACTGAATAATATCTGTGTATAATGTGTGTAATATATACAATTATATAATATAGATATTTTGAGTAATTAAGGCATTTATTTGGCCCTAAAAAAAAATTCTAGAATTGCCAGCATGTACAGTTGTATGCAAAAGTTCGGATGCCCATTACATCAGTATTCAGTAACACCCCTGTTGTCAGAAATAACAGCTTGCAAATCCTTTTTGTAGCCAGCTGGGAGTTTTTATATTCTTGTTTTAGAAATTTTCACCTGCTCTTCTATACAGAATGTTTCTAGTTCTGGGCCGTCTTGCATGCACAGTGTGATTAAGATCTAGCCACAGATTCAGGAGACCCCGAGGGCCATTCCAAAAGCGTTATCTTGTGTTTCTTTAAGTAGTTCATGGTGGATTCTAGTGTTTTATGTCCCATCATTGTCCTGAAGCCATATTCTTTTCAGCATCAGTTTTTGACTGATTGCTTGCTGACTGCTACCTTTGCTGTTTGTGGCCAAAAAGTTCCATTTCTACTTCAGTTCACAGCACATTTCCAAAATGATTATCTAGCTGTTGTTTTGCATACTTCAGTCATTGACTTTCATGATGAGGTCACGTGAGATTTATTTCTGATGACTCTTCCATGCACATCGTGCTTGTACAGGCAACTCTGCACAATAGAACGGTGCAACACCACTCCTGTGTGAGCTGAAAGCACTATGATGTCTTTTATTGTCTTCTCCTGCTTCATAGGCATAAACTGGCTTAATTTTCAGATTCTCAGCCAGCTGCTTACATAAGCATGGTTGTTGAGTGTTAGCACAAGAATTGAAGAGAGAACTTATTATGCCCTGGATTTGTCATTGGCTGATAATTCCTAATGGCAATTTTACTTAACCTAACCAGTCCTAACAAACCAAATAAAGGCCCAACAAGTTTATTAACATTTGCGGCTGTAAAACTGGAAGGGTATTTAGACTTTCGCACATGCATATTACTGTGTTATTTTTTTTTTATTTTTAAGTGAATCAAATATAAAATACCTGGGCATTTCCATTTGCATATAAATGTTATTTCTTAAACAGTTGGCTGCAGAGGTTCCACTTCAAAAATCAACAAAACATGTCATTTGGCTAGGGCTGCCATATAAGTCAAACCAAGAAAGTAGCACAGGCTGACCCAGAAGGGTCTACAATCTTTCTCATCTTATCTGGTTATGTAGCTTGTAGTACATAAAACATTTAATTGTGTTCTTGTTCTCCACAGCCTGGCAAACTAGCTGAAGCTTTTAAGTATTTTGTCCAGGGAATGGGATACAGTAAGTACATTGGTTTCAAATGTTCAAATTTTCCCAAACTCTTTTAAAACACAGTACATATTTTTGTAGTTTTTTCATTTGTTCTGTATTGCAATCTATCTACATTTATTTGGTAAATAATAGTTATTCATTCAGTTTTTCTTCATTTCAAGTCACTAGCTAATCCAGTTGCACTGTGACTAATCAGTTTTTTATTGAGGCGAATGAGAGTGGCAGCATGAAGAGCGTGCACAAACACACACACACACACATACATACATAGACAAATATGCACACACACTCTGCATGTAGCTCATGAGTGTTTTGATTGCTTATTGTTCCTGATTGCGTCAGGGGGAAATAACAAATTCTGCTAAATTAGCTTTCCTTTCAGCAGCAGTGCTTTGCTGTCTGCCTTTGCCAGATACCCCAGTAAAGCAACTAACAAGTAAGCCGGTCAGGGCTCTATGTGAACAGATGTTGCATTTGTCACTCAGCTCACAAAGATTTAGCTCGTCCTTTTTAAAGCTACGGTCTATCTCATCTCTGTAGTGTTGTGTCTGTCAGAAAGGACATTTACTGTACATTATGTAGGCTGTGCATTCATGTTAGAAATTCATGTCTTGTTCTCTGACTCTTCGTAGGCTCTGTCTTCATATTTGTGAAGATGCTATTGCCCCTGCTATTTTAATAGCCAGCAAGACCAGCTTATTTGTTGGTTGTTAAGATACAGTGTATAATAGATTCTGCCAACATGAAATACAATGACCTACAAACCCAGTTTCAAAAACGTTGGGACAGTATGTGAAATGCAAATAAAAAACAGAAAGCAGTGATATGTAAATCTACTTTGACTTGTATAAAAACAGTACAAAAACAAGACAGTTAATGTTTTATCATCTTTGTTTTTGTACATATACCCTTGATTCTGAAATTGATATCTGCAACATATTCCAAAAACGTTAGGGTAGAGACAGTTTAAGACTAGGAACATTATTAAATATTCAGAAAACACTTTAAAAACAGTGCCTAGCCATACAAGGAGCATCCAGGAAAGGCCTATTCTTCTATGAGCAAGGACTGGGCAAGGCTTGTCACTTTTGCCAAAAAATCCTTTAAAAAATCCTTCTGCAGTGCATAATATTATTCAAAGTTTCAGGGAATCCATAAAAATCTCAGGCCAAAAACCACAACTGAAAGCCTGTGACCTTCAATCCCTTGGATGGTACTGCATAAAAAACTGGCATGCTTCTGTGATGGATATCACTGCATGGGCTTGGGAATACTTTAACAGTTGTCACTAAACACTGTTCATTGCTGCATCTGCAAATGCAAATTAAGACTGTGCTGTGCACTGTGGAAGCCAAATATCATTTGTCCAGAAACACTGCTGACTTCTCTGGGCTTGAGCACATTTGAAATGAACTAAATGCACAGGGGAAATGTGTATTATGGTCTGACAAGTCAACTTTTTAGATTGTTTATGAAAATAATGAGATTGTTACCAGCATAAAATTTAAAAGCCAGGGTCAATAGTGGTGTGGGGATGTATTAGTGCCTATGGCATGGGTAACTTGCACATCTCTGAGAGCACCACAAAAAAATTATACACATTTTGGAGCAACATATGTTGCCTTTTGTATGCTGTCTTTTATAGGGACACCCATGCTATTTCAACATGACAGCACCAAGAAACATTCTGCATGTGCTACCACAGCATAGCTGCATATAGGGCTGCCAGAACCACAGGGCATTTGATCCATTACTTTCTGATTGAGTTCAGATTGTTTACATCATAAAGAAATTAAACTACACAGAGCGCTAAATAATCTTATTTACACCTTATCATTTCATGTGTTTTGAGTGTCAGGATTATATTAGATAAGGCCAAGCCACATAAATATGCAAGTATAAAGGCACCCAAGAGGCATTTAAAACAGATACAAATCTGACTGCTCAAACCACTTCAGGAGGTTGTCCGAGACACATTTGAGCCACATGCTGGGCACGTGATCTGGGTCTGCAAAGAAGATAATCATGGAGGACACACAATGTTGGGAACATGATGAAATGAAATGCTTAATAGCAAAAAGAACAGATACTGCTGTGCAAAACAAACTGCAGAGGGACCATGCAATATTTGAAGAAATATGTAAATAGCTCTCGGAGAGCGGCTTCCGCATAATGAGCATATTTGCATATTCTGTCCCACCCAGCAACCATATTTCAGTCTATCTAAACGGAGACACATTTGACTACTAAATGTAAATGCATGTGGCTCAAATCTTATTAGGATTCAGTCCACACACATGAAGTGACCAGGTGTCGCAACCAAAATGTTAAGAAGAGCCATTCTGTCCTTTCAACAAAAATGAAACCACCTTGGAAGCCACAACATTTTAGGTCCTTTTTACCATCTTGGCTGTAAATATGTCTCAGTATGTGCTAATGTACTAGTATAGGCTAACAAATATGATCAAAAACGCAGACTTACTTTGCTCTGCTTTTACCTTTAGGTCAGCTGTAGCCGCTTTTCTCGCACCTCAATCAGGAAACTTTTCAGTGAATTTCTTGTAAAATGTCTCTCAACGTTTGACTTTTTACGAGGCTGAAGACAGCTTCTCTTTCTCCTGCTTCTTGTTCAAATTCTCCCGTTCCACCTTAAATGGCGCAGCAGTTACAAAATGCGTTGCTGTGTGACCAGCAGTCTGCGCACTGATCTTCAGCGTTTAAGGTTGGTGAATTAGCAGTTATACATTAACTCCAGTGTTTAAGACCATTTATTGTGAAAACTGTGTTAGAACTGTGTTATAACAATTTTACAGCAAAGGAGGATTATGTTATTTTACCTAAAATCTAGTTCTGTTGTGGAGCCACAACAGCTCTGCAGCAGTGGAGAGATGATTCAGGCCTGATTCTCACCCCAAACAGAGTCTGGGTCACTGATGAGAATTTTGAGGCTAAAGTGTTGCTGAAGTTTAACAAAGGACTCTGAATGTCATGTCTGTACATATCTTCCTGAAATGTTTAAATTGGAGCAGTTTTATTTTAACAGTTGACAATGCTTTGCACAAAATTGTTTGGTATGTATACGGTTGTTTTTGTTGATTTTTGTTAGGAAAACCTGGAATGATTGACTTTGCCGTTACTTAGTCTTTAATCTTTGGTTGTGTAAGCTTGATTGTTAGTTACACTTAAACTTACTTTTTGGTGATCTTTTTGTATATTTGCGGCTTTTCAATTGTATGTTTCTTTCTGGCACATGATTAAATACAGTGTCTTGTTCACACTTACAGTTGTGCTTGTTTGGTGTGTCAGGTGGAAATACACCAACATTCTGACAATCATGCTTTGAAAGTAGCTAAAAAGTAGCGCACTACTTTTCAAAAAATTACTTTTTAGCTATTTTTTTGAAAAGTAGTGCACTACTTTATTGGACGGAAGGCAGGATACACCCTGGACAGGTCGCCAGTCCATCGCAGCCAAAATTTGTAGCTAGCTACAATTTTGGCTGCGATGGACTGGCGACCTGTCCAGGGTGTATCCTGCCTTCTGTCCAATGAGAGCTGGGATAGGCTCCAGCACCCCCCATGACCTAGAAGGATAAGCGGTTTAGATGATGTGTGTGTGTGTGTGTGTGTGTGTGTGTGTGTGTGTGTGTGTGTGTACAAATTTTGGGAAAGTAGCTATAAAGTAGCTAACTACTTATTTTTCAGTAGCTATCCCAACTCTGACCTGGTGCTGACGTATTGAACTTTTTCTTTAGCTCGGTAAACACTACCTGTATTCAGGTCTGTCCTGAAGAACTAGTTCACAAGGGATTTCAACACCAGAGCATGTTTTTCTCCATGCACATGCTTGCTTTAGCAGTTTACCCTTTACAAATATTTGTATCGTTCCTGCAGCTTGAGCTGCTGCTAATAACATAATACAAAAAAAAACAAAACAGCGAAGATATGTGTTTGATTTGGACATATCAGGATCATGGCACATTTTTGGCAAAATATCAGTGACCTGACAGCTTACATTCAAAGTGACAAACCAATCATAAACAAGGACATATCAAGTATGATTTATTACTATTGCTATGAATTAGTATTGCTATGATTGTGATCCACTTTTTCTATTTTTGTCTATTTTTGACAGTTATGATATGACAGTTTATGTGAAATATGACTTGCTTCCCATCAAAATTGGTGCATACTTTAGAAAATAAACTGGGTTTGAAAACAGCCCGATGTTCTTCAGAAAGTAGAGTTTACTGTCTGAGGCTGAACCTAGTGAAGCAGGGTCAAAACAAAAACAAACTCTTTTCATGAATTAAAGGCGGTTTTAGTCAGTTCGAAAATGTGTGGTGCATTATAAAGCGTAAAATATAACAATGAAGGCCCCATACAGTTGCACAGCTGATGACCTGTGTGAATGAGGAATGAAAAAAAAAATCTGCTTTCAAAGCTGGATCAGTTGGTCTCTTCAGCCCACAAACATTTATTAAGTGCTATTAAAAGTAAAGGTGATGCAACACAGTAGTAAACATGGTCCTGTCCCAAAAACCATCCCAACAGTTTTTTTAAACATGTTATAGGCATCATATTTGGAATAAGAGTATATTTACAAAAAAAGTTCATAAGCATCAATTATCAAGTATTCAGGGGCAATTCTAGGATCAGAGCATTAGGGATGCTGAACACCCAATGAGACAATCCCCCTGTGTCTTTTTTAACAATTTAAAGTAATTTTCGACTACCAATCCTGGAAAGACTCCAACAAATCTGAGAAAACTTTCTTAAATGCTGAGCCTGTGAGCCACGAAGTCTTCACTTGGTTTACCAAGTACTACAAATGAAATTGTATTACAAGTAAAAGATAATGAGGGATAAACAAGTAAAAAATAAATAAATATGCAAAGATCTCAGATTAACAGTTACTGTTTTGCTGGCCACTACTCACTGTATTTCTCTTTTCTCACCTGGTTCTTCCTGCTCTTGCACTCTCTCCTTCTTTCCTTCTCCATCCTTCTCTCTCCCCCTTTACACCGACAATCATGCACAAATCAATTGTGTTCAACGACAAAATGACATAAATAGAAATAAATACTAACAAATAAGCCAGACTAATAGAGTGTTAGTGACATAAATAAATGAAGGAGGCTGGGGAAAATACACATTTGATAACAGGATATCATAGTTTGGGTATTTGAAATCATTGTGGATTCTACTGCAATGAGCGTGGGCAAACAGAAGCTGCTGTGGCATTATAACTGTGTGGTTTTTACTAACGTTAACTGTCAACTTTCTCACCCCGTTCTTACTGTCCATGCTGCTGTCTCCCCCTCCCTCTCTTTTCCTCTCTCTCTCTTCGTGCTGCCAAACAGTTGACAAATAAACAAACAATGAGTATTTTTATCTAAAAGGAGAACATACGTAGATCCATATCAATTTATAGCATTTTTTCTCATTGAATATTGAGCTGCTGTCGGCTAGGGCGACCAGATGAGAATGAGTGAAATTCAGGACAGGAGAGTTGGGGTGAGTACATGTCAGAAGAAGAATAATTTAGATTCATATCAGACACACAATTTCTAAAAATCTGTTATCAATATTATGATGACCATTTACAGACTCTGAGGTTATGATAGAGACACACAAACTATTACGCACAGGTGACACGTGTGTTACTTTTAAACATCTTTTTAGCAGATGAGAAGATAATAAAACTGTTGGGTGCACAAACCCATTTTTAGATATTTTTTTATCAAAAATTCCTCCCACAGTAGCAGCTGCATTCTCCATTGTCTCGATAAGTTGATACAACACACAGACAGCCCTCCTTTTAGCCTGTTTATATTATCTATTACTGTAGCTAAATTAGTCACTTTTTTAAGAAAAACAAGTTTCACGACAACTACTCAAAACTCAGGACTGTTCTGAATTTTTCAGGGCATCTGGTCACACTACTGTGGGCACTGATTCAAATCATTTTGACCTTACACTTTCACCTGAACCTGGCTCTTTTCTCTGGAAAAACAGTCGAATATCCATGGCTGACTGGCCACACACACACACAGGACAAGTTAGGAATCAGGCATCATGTATTTATCATTCTATAACATTAATTAGCTGATACACATACAGACAGTACTGGTCTAGCACCTTGGCTTTAATATCAACATATACAACCAATGGCACAACAGCTAGTTTCCCTCACTCAAATTTACACAGTGGACAGTGGTTGTTTGGGCTGCAACATTAGCTAGCTTCCCTCACTCAAATTTACACAGTGGACAGTGGTTGTTTGGCCTGCAACATTAGCTAGCTTCCCTCACTCAAATTTACACAGTGGACAGTGGTCGTTTGGCCTGCAATATTAGCTAGCTTCCCTCACTCAAATTTACACAGTGGACAGGGTTGTTTGACCTGCAACATTAGCTTGCTAGATAAAAAGTCAGATAGCTAACTCCTACCTAACAATAACAACATAAAGAGTGATCTGTAATTTAATGCAGCAAAAATGAGGACTGCTGCTAATGATTGTAATGTGTTGGTGCTGAATGATAAAGAAATCCTTGTCTGCGTTACTTACTCTCCAGTAAGTCTCCAGTACTCCACCACACCCCAGACAATCAAACTGTAACTGGCATTAGCGTGTGTGTGTTTGTGTGTGTGTACTGTAAGACTTCAAGGAGAGCAGGACAGGGGAAGGGTAGGAGAGAGAAAGTGGATCAGAACATTTGCTTACATTGGAACATTTGGTTCCTCACCTTTTTGGAATTGGGTTTGTATTACCTCTCAAAAAAGACACTGACTTTTTGGAAAAAGGATTGAAGAAAATGAAACATTGCATCTGATGTACATTCTCTAACAAATAAACCTGATGTGGGCATTTATTACCTTCCAACCAGCTGATTTAAAATAAAATATTATTCTAGGTGTTGTATTTATTCCCAGATAATATTTCAGCTAAGTTCAACTGTTCTGTTAGGATTTACATTAATAGCTTTGAATTTTTCTTGGTTGCCTGAATAAAATTGAAGGTTTTGCTTTACTATGCGAGCTGACATGTAGTGACCCAGCTTCCATTCGTTGTTAGCCATGTTAGCATATTTGGTAGAGCAATTCCTTTAACACAACTAGGTCTTGCACAATGTTGACTATAGAGAATAAATGCCAGGCTGTCATTCTATAGAGGTCAGCTATACCATCTACCCAGCCAGTAAAATATCTACATAAGGTGTAAGATTCAGAACAGAATGAATATGCTAACAATTTTTTTTTTTTTATGGCAAGTGGAGTAAACCACACATGAACCACTGTCTCAGAGATACACACAGAATAGTCAAATTAAGAAGTGTATCTCAATGCAATTTCCCTATCTCTCTTCTCTCACTTTGCACACAGTTCCCTATGTTCTGCTCAGCCACTTGAGCAATGAATCAGGTAACATGCCTCTGAGCCATCAGATTTTGATAGCTGTGTTAGCTTCCCATCTGCCTCTTTGGTTCATTTTTATGCTTAGGGTTATGTGTGTCTGCTTGTATCTATTATCAGATGTGGGTCGCAACTAGTTATGTTTATTCACTTACTATATCAGTATTTTATTAGTATTTTCAAATAATAATGTTTCTACTTCAACTCAAGCATATTTGTGAGGAGAGTAATCCACCTTTTACTTAGTTACATTGTAGTCATTAAAATTTGGTTGTGTTTAATTTAAATTGTTACATTTGTGCCTAACACACTTCATTTCCTATACTGATAGATGTTCATGGGGCAGCACTTAGAGATTTATGGTTATGGGGATCAGGGGGGTGTCATAAATGACAGTCATGAATTTTTAATGTAGCAAGAGGTATAAAAGTAGAGTGAAAGAACATTTAATGTTGGGGGTAAAGCTCTCTTAAAACAGGCCTTGTAATGTCCCTGGTCTTAAGTTTTTTTATCTGTTACTAATTGTTTTTTGGAAAGGTTATTCTACTTGAGTCATTATTTTACTGTTTTCTTGAGTCTGGGTTTAGGGTCCTCTACCCACCTCTTGTTTTCTTGTCTATTTGATATTTTATTGTAATGGTAATAAAATAGCAATTTTTCACAGATTTATTCACTTTATTAATTTGTGATCACTTGATTGTGAGTTAAGTTGTTATTTTGATTTCTGACATTTATTTATATAAATCATTTATGTACATTGTTTGTCTCATGTTGCTTTTTGACAGTGTCAGTTTGCTTTATTAGTTTGCATGGTGCTGTGATCTTGTTAAAGTCAATCTGAAGTCACAATTTACTTTTTTTTTGTTAGTACAAGTGGCTGATGATGGACAATTCATCATATATTTAAAAAGATACAATTCTTGTTTTACTGTAATCTTTCATCAAATTGAAATGACTTTTGCTCACTTGAAATGTCTTCTCATTTTTGCCACAACACTGTACACTAGCGAGCGAGGAAAATAATATTAACCATTAATCCCTTCCATCTATCCCTTCCATCACTCATATCTATCATTGTGCAAAAATGCTTAGCTAGCTCAGAGAGCCTCCCTAGTATCAAGTTTTACTAATATAAATATGTCATGAAACGGGAGGTAAATGCATCATTTTTGATTCATGTTGACTTTAACAAGAACTTTCCATGATATATAAGCAGCATATTTAAAAATGTGTATATAACAGTGCTGTAAGGTAAGCCTATGTGCCATATAGTTTTTCCTTCTTGTTTGTTTCCTTTATCTGTCTCATCTTTGACTTTCAGTGCCAGCTGCTGGTATGACCCGTCTTGCCCACTCCCGCACCACCTCCTCATCCAGCATCGCCTTCATGGACAGTAACCACATGCGCAATTTCAACAGCCGTCTAGACAGCCCCAGCACAGGAGCTCTGGACAATCAGGCTCAACCACAAACCATGGAAGTGTCCTGCTAGGCAGAACCCTCTGTCTTGAGTCTCTGCTGTTTGTGTCCACCCCTAATTAATGTGTTTATGTTAGTATAATGCTAAGGCAAAGGGAGGTGGTAATGAATTGTGAGATACTGTAGGTGTGTAAACATATGTTTGTGTGTTAGTGATGCATCGATCCAATACTCAGGATCAGATCGGCACCGATACTTCTTAAGTGAATTGGATATGAGACATACATATCCGATACACATTTGGTACCGTCTCTCATAGCCACGGCTGCTCTTCACTCAAAGGGCATAGTTCCAAAATGTGACAAACATCAAAAAATAACCTTACATGCAAACTTCTTTGTTTAGAAAATTAAATTAACAAGCGGGAATTCTGCCATGGTTGTTCCTCTAAGCTGTAGTGCATCGTAATAAAATCCCTGTGCATAACTTTTTCCGTATAATGCATCAGCTTTGCGAGCAAAAACTATTTCATACCTTTGCATTATCATCAATTCCATGCAGACTACAGTTAAATTAATGTGGTTAAATATTAAATGAGTAATAAGGGTGCCTTGCTGCTCGTCTTGTTAGGGTCAAGACAAAACAAGCAGCATGACTAGATATGAACAGAGAGGTGTTTTATGCTTGATACAGCTGCCAGTAGTAGCACAGTAACTTGTTGCATCTCTAGTATGTGTGTGTGTGTGTGTATATATATATATATATATATATATATATATATATGCCCTGCGATGGACTGGCGACCTGTCCAGGGTGTATCCTGCCTTCCGCCCAATGACAGCTGGGATAGGCTCCAGCACCCCACCGTGACCCAGAAGGATAAGCGGTTTAGATGATGCATGCATGCATGCATATATATATATATATATATACACACACACACACACACACACACCATGTTCCAAATTATTATGCAGAATGCAGTTCTTAAACAACATTCAATGGGTCATAATGACATAATTTCAAACAGAAATATGTCACATTTGCTGCATGGACAGATACTTTTGTCAAAAAATAAAAACAAGTTACATTAAAAACTATATTTACAGGTCAAGTTACATTTGGATATATGAGCCGTTCTTTGAGACAACTTTAACAACTCTCTCATCCATTGAACTTCTAAGTCCATGTTTAGTTAGTTGAGGATGCCAGTATTGCCTCCGAAGAGCTGATGTTTCCAGGTATATTGACACCCACCCTTATAGATCTTCCTTTTAAGGATGCTCCACAGGTTCTCAACAGGATTGAGGTCAGAGGATGAGAAATCATTTTTCTCCCTTTATACCCATATCAGCCAAGGAGTCGATGGTATTTTTTGATGCATAGGATGGTGCATTGTCCTGCATGAAAATTATTTTATTTCGGAAGGCATGGTTCTTCTTTTTATAATATGGCAGAAAATGGTTGGTTAGGAGTTCTGCATATCTTGTAGAGGTCATTTTAACACCCTCAGGGACCCTAAAGTGACCAACCATCTCACTTACCAATATTCCAGCCCAAATCATCACTCCTCTTCCTGACCTCGCAGTCTTGTTGGAACAGAGTGGCCATTCACCAACCATCTGGAACTCCATCCATCTGGACCATCTAGTGTAGTGAATAAAACTGTTTGAAGACTAGTCTTCATGTATTTGTGAGCCCACTGCAAACGTTTCCCTTTGTGAACTTTGCTTAGGGGTGGCCAAAATACAAGTCTGTGGAGCATCCTACATTGAGGTTCTTGAGACTCCAGAGACACCAGCAGCTTCAAATACTTGTTTGCTGCTCAACAGTGATGTTTGTAGAGCTGCCCTTTAATACAATTAATTTGTCTGACAGAATCTTTCCTTAATAAGCCTTTATCTGACTGTATTCGCCTATGCTCTGTATTACACATATCTTTTAACCGTTTGATGATCTCTCTTCAATTTTTGTGAAATATCAGTTGTTTTCATGCTTTTTGAAAAGACATTGCACTATTTCACACTTTGTCTTCAGAAAGTCAATCTTGATGTACGTTTCCCTGACAAATTAATTCACAAACCTGTCTGAGCTTGATACCAGTTATCTAGAAAGATATGAGAAATAAAGCAAGAAAAATTAAGTATTTGCCGTATGTATTATCAGCATACAAAGTGTCTTCCACTTATACTACATCAGGCATGTGTAACATCATCACTTTGACTCCTTGGTTCTCTCTAGTTTGATCTTAATGTCTTTAAATTATATGTAGTGGTTTTTAGATCTTTCAGTAACGAAACAGCTACTTTCTTTGCTCCCCTCTTCATTCCAATGAAACACACTCACAGTCAAGTACATGCATTAAAAAATGTACAACTGTTACACATACGTAGCATATTTAGAGTTTTTAAGCAATGTTCTGTCATCTGTGATCATTTCCACGCGCAAGTCTTGTGTGACTGTTTCACTTGTCGTCTAGTAACCTGAAGAACCTGCTGTGAATAATATTTAGTAGCCTGTTATCTGTCATACTATTGTTAGATCAACCAAACACATTACATTTTTTTTTTAAAGCTGTTAAGTATGTGTTTCTACTAGCAAAAAGCCCTGTGTCAGCTGTTCCAGTTACTTAAATCTAACAGTGAAACTACTGGGGCAGTTTAAAGATGACTGATAAATTACACAGCTGGATATCATTTTTATTATATGTTTTTGTCACATAGCCATCAATGGAATAATTTTTAAAAGATTTTTAAAGATGCTGCTGTGGCAAATCAGTTTACTGCATTAGTCTCCTTTATTAGATCACCAGTCTTGTTTTATTTTTAGGTTTGAAACAATTTTCACAATGTACACACAAAATAAGCAACATTCATTTATGCACAACTGTGAAATTGAGTATGACGTGTGAAAATCTGCAGATTCCGATCACTTATATCTAGTAAATAAAACTATTGTGTTCTCATTAATCATACATAGCAAACATGTGAACAGTGGTTCCTGAGATAATCATACAAATTGTGCTCTATAACGTCCTAGAACGCTATGCATCCCAATAAGGTCCCCAGAGTTTTTCAAATATACACCATCTTTCCACTGTAGATTTGGTTCCTTGCTGCCTTACCTTTGGTGTTTTTAATTTCATCTGACGATGACCACCAAAAAACTGCTTCTCTTGATGTTGAGGGCATTACTGGCCCTTATTCAGAAATCAGCTAGAGAGGAAAAAACAAATCCTTTAGTTCTAAGGCTTGCTGCTCCAGTTATTGTAAAGCTTCTTCCAATGTGTGGAAATCCGCTTATTCCATTACATTAAACATCTAATTTTAACCATACAGACTAATTCTGAAATTGAAACTGATTAGAAAACAAATCAACTCCTAAAAAGAAAACTCATTTTTAAAGAATCAGCTTGAATAACCTCTTTTAGTAAACTGTCTAGAGCACCCATCAGTGAGGATTCAAAGAAGAAAGTACCATCACTACTACAGACACAGGGAAACACTAATTTTTTGTATTGATCTTTCAAAACATTTGTCGCAGTTGATCACTGTGCAAAGATTATACAGTGTTGACTATAAAATGCTGCTGAAGGGTTTTGGAATTACAATTCTAATAGGCAGCAATGTATTGCTTAAAGTAACTTTAAGTCTGTATCTCTGACAGGCAGGTGTCTCACAAAGCTTAATTCTGGGTGCAGTTGTTTGGCATTGTCTCCTCTGGAGTTGTTCATGTTCAGGGCTAACAAAATATCTAGGAGGTGATTCTAGATATGCCTGACAAAAAAAAAAACAAAAAAAAAGCCAGAAAAGCATGCAATTGAGAGGCTAACATTGACTAATTCAGAGACTGTTAAAAACAATAGGTATTCCAGAATGAAAATTTTGGCACACAAAGATCATACCACTTACAAATAGCAAATGAACTGCTAGAACAGAGAAGTCTAGAGTAGTGGATGATGGTAAACTGATTTTAACCATTAAGAAAAAGCTTTTTTGTGCTCTATTTTCCCCCAGGATGTAGGCACTCACTTGGCAAAGATTATTAACAGTTAGGAGAATCTTGGAGGGCTTAACCACAAGTTGGAAAGGAATAGGAAGCCTAAATAAAAATGTCTGATTATAGTTTGCTAAAAAGAAAGGGAAACTGTGGAGGGAAAAAAGGTACCACTCAGGAGCTAAAGCACACCTTTTAATTTGTAATCTTTACATGTTTTATTCATTTTTTTTGCCAGTGGACGTTACCCAGCTGAAGTATGTAGGCTGGGGTACAGAAATGAGAAAATTAAACTCTCTAAGCTAAATTCCCTCTTGTAATGTCAGATGATTATGTATTGCACTTTTTTTAAAGAAGAATATATAAACTAATGAATCACAAAGTTAAAAATGAATATTTGTTCAGGTTCAACATAGCTTATTATTAGATAAGGATATTTCTATGTTTTTAATATTCTGCACTGTACCATTAAAGAAAAGACAATTCTGTCCTGTCTTTTGTGGCTGTCTTTCATATGATTGGCTGTAGGCATCTAAAAGTCAAAGACCGCATCATGGTCAGAGAAAAAATTGCTGTTGCCCAGCGCTGCTGTGTCTGATCCACATGTACCACTGCAACATACACTAACATGCCACTACTACATCAGTGCTAAGAATGGTCCACCACCAAGAAAATTACTTGCTCTGTGTTTGTCCTGAGGGGGTCCTGGCCATTGAAGAAAGGGGGCTAACAACATACACAGAGAAACGGATAGACTATAGTCTGTAATTGCAGAACAAAGTGCACCAATATGGTAAGAGGAGCTGATAAAAATGGATAAAGAGCATACATACAAGGCAAACTTAAAATGGATGGTCGCACATAGTGGATCTTATATAACATGATTATGTATTTTACTGTCACCTTCTCCCCCTGCCAAGAGATATATATATATATATATATATATATATATATATAAATATATTGCAGCTAAGTTACATTAACACATCCTTAAGCAATTTTATAAGTAGCTTGTCACAAAAAAATTCTGAAGATTTAAAACAAAGAAATAAGTTATGACGAGCAAAATAAATTGAATTCAGATTCTGTACCATTTCTAGATCACTGTTTAAGCAAATCTGTGACACTAACCATGTTAAAGCCTTTCTACAACAAGGTCAGACCTTTAAAGAAGTTTTATCTCTTCCACTGAAGCTTGTGTTCAGATGACTCAGGTTGATTTAATTTAGCCATCAGAGGAATTTTGTCACTGTTATTGATCGGAGTCATGCCAGCTCAAGTGCAATCCATAATCAAAGCAGAACAAATACTACGAAGTTTTGAAATTCACACTGAAATTTCAAAGATTCTATTTTTCACCCAGATGATATGCTGATATCATTTGTAATGAAAAAATAACATTAGAAAAGAATGCAAAATAGAAGCATTTCTTAGATTTTTGGATGCCACTGTAACACTTGCTAAACACAAAATAATGATGCTTGCTGCAGGTATGTTGTAAAGTATTTTATTCAAACAATGAACTAAATTAAAATGACAGCAAAGGGCATTACATCCAACTGTTCAAATCACAAGTTTGAACATTTCAGAAGTGGAAACGTTATGCTTTCCTCTTAAAGGTCTTCATCAGCAGTTTTCAGCTTATTATGAAGACTAAGAATTAGAAAGAAATTTGAAAAGAAGGAGAGAAAAAAAAAAAAAAATCTGAATCACTCATGGAATCAACTTAAACGTTATGACCATTCCAAGAAAATTCCAAATTTAGGAGTCACCTGCAGAGGTAGGAGTGAACATCAGAAAAGCCATGGTATTGCGCCAGGGGAAACAGAATGCCAGTTGGACAGCGACCATCACGCTGCCTACAAAAGCTGCAGTTGCAGATACCACGACAAGGAGGGCACTGCCATTGCTGTAAAAGTCAAAGCTTGCATCAGAAGACGACAGGTCTAACCCCACATGAAAATGAATAAAATCACAACTGAAAAACTGAAGCTTTTTTTTTTTTTTCCCCAAGCTGTCCCATCCCTTGCATTTACTGACCGGGTCAAGGAGGGCTGTCTTGACATCCTCGCCATATCTGTTACGAAGACACGGACCACAAAATTGTCCCTGAATCCCACGGCAGTTCTCATTGCGGCAACAGGTCTTAGTGTCCAAGGTCTTCTGTCGACACTGATGACATGTGGAGCCCTGTTATTGTATGTAAGGGGAAAAAAGTTCAGCACACGTATTGTCAGATAGTTCAGAGAGTCAGACATCCCTGAAACTGCTGACACTTAACATTACAGCAAAATAGTTTACTTTTGGTAAGCAACACAGTGACATGGTCAGCTAGACAGTTGGAGAAAATTAGTGGCCATTAGATCCAGTTCAGACTAAGGCTTTGTTCACACAGCAGGTAAAAGTGGCCCAAATCCGATCTTTTTCTTCGTATGGGACACAGACGTGTCATCTGTTCGTCAGTGTCAACAGCGAAAAACACACTGAATCTGACATTCAATTCCTATTTGAACCACTTTCACATGTACTGAAATCTGACCCGTATATGCAGCAATGCGACCCAGTCTGAACAGCCAGATCAGAATTCATGCGACTTTTACGCGTCAATCCAACTTAACATTCATCATCATTTCACACTGCTGAGACCTCAAACATTTGTGGTGAGGTTTATGTACCAAAAAAAACAAAAAAACAAAATCAAAGGCTTGTATTGCAACCGCTCAGTGTTCGAAAAGATTTTGAAAGAAATGGCTGCACGCAGCCATTGGAGAACAAGGCTGCAAAGAACAGTTAAAAAGTCTGAAAGCAAAGTTTAAAGAATCCAAGCACACGAACCAAAGAAGTGACCATGCACTTTTTACGGTGAGCTCGAACACATTCTGGGTGATGAGCCCAGCTGTCAACCATTGGAACTTCATGACCACTCCTGTACTGCTGGTGAACTTCCAGAATTCCCTAGTGGGTTTGTGTTTAACAAGAAAGGTGGCGGGGGGCATGCGGGGTTCGGGGAAGAACTGGAGGGGGTGTTGGGGCGCGGTAAGACAAGAAGCTGGAAAAGACTAGCAGAAATGGCTTTGGGACTTGAATTAATGAAATGAAAGTGAGGGACTGTCACCCACAACAAAGCTGTTAACATGCAGTGAGTAAAAGGTTGGCAAAACATATCTTGGACTGAATACAGACACTTAATTTCTGTATTATATATGTATTCATAATACTTGTATTCCGATACATCCCAACCCTGAGGATGAGCTAGAGGTGGAGATCAACAGCACACAGGAGTACATGAACTGCGCTGTGCTGCGTAAGAGTCATGCTGGCAGAGTGATCCAGAGAGGTCACAAGTTCGTGAGTAACAATGTCACTACGAGCTGTGCTGAAACAAGTCAGTTACTGAAAATGTTTACAGGCAAATTAGTGCATGGCAGGAGTTCTAGAGCCATTTTGTAATTCATAAATGATAAAAGCAACAGCAGGAATCACACTGACAGACAGCAATTACCATGCAGCTGTGGAGTTGTTCAGAACAGATTTGAAAGAAAGACCACTGTGTAGTGCACACATCAAAAAGTTACTGAATTTGAAATAATCGTCAGATAAAACAGCATGAAGGCAGCCCTGTGGTGAACGTTTGGAAACCTTTGATGTGTACAGTAACACATATGGTAGCTTGCTGTGCCTAGTACTACTACAGATCATGTCTAACGACATTGCTTTCGCCTACGCTTGTCAGACTGACTCAGACAAAGAATGGAGTGTGCTTGAGCTAATGAAATTTCCACAAAGAGTTAAAAGCAGAGAGTGAGCCCTTCAATCAAGCAGATCCAGCAGCTCACAAAGGGAGGCTCAACCAAGTCAAGATACTGTTATCCAGTGAAATGAAACCTAAGAATTAACATGCCATCTGCTGCTGCATTACACACTGCTAGTCATAATACCCCACAGTGTTTGTTTTGTGATAGTACAGAGCAAGGCAGGGCAGAGCAGTGCCCTGAAACTAATGTTCTGCCCGAAAGGGAGAGTTAAAAAACTAGGGAGATGCTTTGTGAGCCTAGGTCCCAAACATACAGCAATATTTTGTAAAGCCAAGGGCATTTTATGAGTCATATGTGGCAACCTGTAGTTCCAAGTTCAAATGCAGATGCCACTGTGTCCTCTGTGATTCCCAGCACAGTGAAAACAAAATCAGACAGACATCAACATCCACACAATTGGCTCTGCATCTCCAGTCACAACGAAATGCAATATTTATGGTAACACTGGGGAATATGTAGAACACAGAGCAAAAAACTGAAATTGAGGCCTTTGAAACTCCAAGTATGCACTGCAAAAATGAAAAAATTCCAAGTGAAAAAGGCGCTCAAGAAAAGGTGCTTGCAGCCTGCAGATGTTCCACTAGGTGGCGTTGATGATCTAGAACTGTCAGTATTAATTGGTGCTGACTTTTACTGACAAGTTGTGTCTGCCAAACTAAAAAGATTGACGAAATGCTAGTAGCTCTGGAGAGTATTTTCGGCTGAACTGTACAAGGTCCAATGTCCAGTATGACAAACTTAATGCATGCACAAATGTCTAGATGAAGACACTCAAGTCTCACAACAGCTGCATGCGTTATGGGAGGAATGGGGCATTGTTCATGAGAAAGAAAACCTCAGAAGCTGAAGTTCTCCAAATCTTTGATAAGACTACAGTTCATGTGAATGAACAGTATCAAGTTGAGTTATAATGGCAACATGACGCACCAGATTTACCTGACAACTTCAAGGTTGCAAATTGAAGGCCCGAGGAAAAAGCTGAAGACTAATGTAAAACTACACGAAATACAATGATGTAATATGATTACCTGCAGCAGGGTGTGTGAGAAGTAGTGTCAGATGACAATATAGCAACCAAGCAACAAAACTGATGGTAAGGTGGGCAGAAAGTACAACTGTATGCAGACCAGACCCAAGTGCACACAGCACAGTGCTTAAAGTGTTAGGGGTACTGTGGAGACCACCGAAAGATGACTTTGTATTTGATCTCAAATAGCTAATGGATATTCTGCAGGGCAGAGAGAATACAAAGAGAAATGCACTCTTCTGAATGCATATTTTACTCCATTGGTTTCCTCACCCTTTTCACCATCAGGGTAAAGTGATTGTTCCAAGAAATGTGGGAGGGAGGGATTTGCTGGGATGCATAGTTACCTGTGGATCTTGTACAAAAAAGTGGCAGCAATGGTGTGTGGAGTTACTTCAGTTTCACTTAGTGTCCATTCCAAGGTCGTATCAGATTTATATGCAGCAGAATAGAAAGTACAGCAAGTATCATGTTTTCTGTGATGCTAGCAAAAGAGCCTCCAGTGTAGCATACCTGCAAGGACAGAATGCAGGTGGTAAAGAAGTCACAAGATAGTAGCATCAAAGGCCAGAAGAACCCCACTGAAGAAAATTTTACCATGGCTGAAGACAACGGGAGCCTAGACTGCTAAACTGGAAGACAACCTGCCAAAACCCCTGAAACGGAAACGAATCAGTTCAACGTGTGGACATATTTAATGATAGCCACTCTGTCTGCAGCAAAGGCTTTTCTGCACTGAACACTGTCCATGACAGCACTCACCAGAAGTCCCTAGTCCACTTCGTTGAATACACAAGCAAACATACACTGCAGAAAAAAGTACATATTTACAAATCTGGATTACAATTTAAAAACAACAAAGGGCTTAGCGATTTCCATTAGCCTTGCAGCTAAAATCCAGCAATTGCTTCCTCACCAGCTCTGAACAACATGGTAAGCCCCAGTGGTCTGAAAGCTGCAAAGCCTCACAGACTAAACCCAAATCAAAAAGAATTCTTCAGACCTGGAATCTCTTCTCACAGCCCCTCCCTCTCTCTAGCTCAGGGACAAACCAATGTAATTAACCACAATGTGCACAATAATAACTTAAAATAATTCAGACATGTCTTTCAGCAAGACCATGGTCACTTTAACATTGTATACAGGTAAATAAAATTAAAGAAAATTTATCTATCACTGTTTCTCTGTCTTTGCAGGTTTCCCACCCAGAACGACTGTGAAGAGGGTGTATTCTCATGTGTTCACACTACTATATGAATCAGGTAAGGAATAAACTAATACAGTGCTTAGAACAGTCTTGGGGATGAGGTAAGTTTCTCACTTCATCACACCTTCCTACAAGAGAGCTGATATCAAGTAATCTCATACATAGCCAGCTGTGGTGGAGTGGACCTCCATTCCTGCAGATGCATATGAACCACAGCAAAACCAAGAGTTTCCAGTTTAGGTCAATTCTTTAAGATCCAAGTTTCAGGTTGCAGATCAACTAAGCACCAGTGACAAAACACCTGAGACACTTTTAAATCTGGACAAGTACAGCAAGCTGAAGACAGTGCTCAAGTAACAGCATGGATGATGGTTTGTTAAACAAAGAACAGTGGAGAGCTTACAGCTGAGGAGTTTGTTTGCAGCTGAAACATACTGGAAATGAATTGTACAACAGCAAAGCTTCAGTAAAGAAATCAGTCTTCTAAAATCAGGACAACCCGTTAAGAAGGACTCAAAGATAAAGGAAGCCCTTCTTTAATGAACATGACTTGCTCAGTATTGGGGAAGACTTCAGCAGTCAGACTTTAGTTTTAGAGAGCAGATCTTACCCAGGGGTGTAAAGAGTACTGAAAATCCCTACTTAATAACAACAAGTACTGTTACTGTAGTGATAATTTACTCAAGTACAAGTAAAAAGTATTAGTAAATAAAATTACTCAAGTAAGAGTAAATAAGTAGTTCATTAAAAAACTACTTAAGCACCGAGTTACTTAGTTACTTTCCGCTGTCACAACCTGAAAATATTTCTGAGCTGACTCGGCTACATCACTGGAAACTGATCACTGAGACTGATCACAGTTCACTCTGCTAGTGCACATTTACACACCTTTCTGTGAACTGTGTAAGGAACAAGGTTTACATTAAACTGCATGCATTTCATGGTTAGATGATTATATAAGACATCTTAATTTTCCAATAAGGGTGTGCAGATGTTACTGTTTAATTAACTTTATTTAAGAGAGAGAGAGAGAGAGAGAGAGAGAGAGAGAGAGAGAGAGAAGAAAGGAAGTTTTCGTGTTTGGTCGCTGATAATAATGTCATTTTCTTTAGTTCATGTTAAATAAATACAGATGACCATT